ATACATGAAACGAAATTTAACACATAAATTAACAGAAGGAAAAAAATGTGATCATATTAATTGATGCAGGAAAAGCATTTGATAAAATACAATACCCCTTCATGATTAAGACTCTCAGCATAGAAGGGGCATTTCTCAACCCAGTAAGTCATTCAGGAAAAAAACCACAGCTAACATCATTCTGAATAGTGAAAAGCCGAAAGCTTTTCCACTGAAAATTGGAACAAGACAAGGCCGCCCACTTTCTCCACTCCTCTTCAATATAGTGCTGGAAGTCCTCGCCAACACCATCAGACAAAGGAATAAAATAAAAGGCATTCCAACAGGAAAGATAGAAGTGAAACTACTTCTATTTGTAGATACCATGATTATATAAATAGAAAAACCAGAAGAATCCCCCCCAAAAAACTACTGGAACTAATATACAAATACAGTAAAGATGCAGGATACAAAGTCAATATACAAAAGCCTGTAACATTTCTATACACCAATAATGAACTATCTGAGGTAGAACTGAAGAAAGAAATCCCATTTACATTAGCCACAGCTAATATACGATACCTAGGAAAGAACTTAACCAAAGAAGTCAAAGACCTTGGGAACCAGCAGTTAGTGTAATGGCTATGTTGCTGGACTCCCACGTAGTCGACCGCGGTTCACGTCCCGGACCTGGTGGCTTAAAACTCACGCTGGGCGTGTGTGCGTGCGTGCCCAAGATCCCGAGAGGAGAATGGAGGAGAAGGGATTGCAGCGTGACCATCCCCCCTGGGGGGTGATTTGTCGCTTTCTGTCTCTATGTCTCTCTCTGTCTGGTGAGCGCATGCGCCCTATAACAAAAATCTCTCTGAAAAAAAAAAAAAAGAAAAAAGAAAAAAGAAGTCAAAGACCTCTACAGCGAAAACTATGAAAAACTAAAAATAGAAATTGAAAATGATACAAAAACATGGAAGGACATCCCAGGTTCCTGGATTGGAAGAACTAATACAACCAAAATGTCAATTCTACCCAGAGTAATTTACAAATTTAATACAATTGTAATTGGAACACCAAAGACATTCTTCACAGAATTAGAACAAAAATCATAAAATTTGTCTGGAATAATAAAAGGTCCTGTATTGCCAAAGCAATATTGCACAAAATGAATAAAGTAGGCATCTCCCTCCCTGACTTCAAAATATATTACAAAGCTGTGATAATCAAAACAGCATGGTACTGACACAAAAACAGGTAGGTAGACCAATGGAACAGAATAGAGAAGCCAGAAATAAACTCCAAAACATATAGCCAACTCACGTCTGACAAAGGGCACAAGACACGCAAGTGGAGAAAAGAAAATCTCTTCAGCAAATAATGCTGAAAGAAGCAGATATCCACCTACAGAAAAATGAAACTGGACCCCTATCTTTCACCATTAACAAAAATTAACTCAAGTGGCTCAACAATCTAAATATAAGACCTCATACTATAAAACTACTGGTGAAAAACACAGGGGAAACCCTTGGAGACATCGGAGTAGGCAAAGACTTCTTAAATAAGACCCCCCACCCCCAAACACAGGCAATAATCTTAAAATTAGACAGGTGGGATTACATCAGGTTAAAAAGCTTCTGTACAGCAAAAGAAACAATAATTAGTGTGAAGAGACACCCCTCAGAATGGTAGAATATATTTACAAACTATACCTCAGATAAGGGATATAACCAAAATATACAGGGAATTTAAGCAGCTTATTAAAAAAAATCAGTCCAATTAAAAAATGGGCAAACGAGCCAAACAGATGACTCTCCAAGGAAGACATATGAACAGCCGAAAAGCATATGAAAGATGCTCAATATCTGGTTTCATAAGGAAGTGAGTTATCACCACAGTGAGTTACCACCTAACTCCAGTCAGAATGGCTAAGATTAAAAAATAAAAATAAGTGCTGGCGAGGCTGTGGTGAAAAGGGAACACTCTTACACTGTTAGTGGGAATATAAATAATACAGCCACTGTGGAAAACTACATGGAAGTTCCTCAAAAACCTACAAATAGAATTACTGTATGACCCAACAATTCAACTCCTGGGTATCTACCCAAAGGATAGGAATACACTCAGAAAATACTTGCACAACCATGATTATTACAGCATTATTCACAATTGCTAAGACATGGAATCAACCCAAATGTCCAAGAACACACGAATGGATTGAAAAAGTGTGGCACATATACTCTATGGAATGCTACTTAGCCATAAAAAAACCCAGTGAGACCCTGGCATCTGATAGAAAGGTGGATGAATATGGAGGATTAAATACTAAGCAAAGCAAACCAGACTACAGGAGAGGCAGTGTATGTCCCCACTTAATCCACACTGAGCGTCTGCACTCTGACAGAAACTGGGAGACCGGAAGGCAAAAGCGTGGAGAGCAACTGTGGGTACCGGAGACAGCGCGGGAGGGTGGGTACCGGAGACAGCGCGGGAGGGTGGGTACCGGAGACAGCGCGGGAGGGTGGGTACCGGAGACAGCGCGGGAGGGTGGGTACCGGAGACAGCGCGGGAGGGTGGGTACCGGAGACAGCGCGGGAGGGTGGGTACCGGAGACAGCGCGGGAGGGTGGGTACCGGAGACAGCGCGGGAGGGTGGGTACCGGAGACAGCGCGGGAGGGTGGGTACCGGAGACAGCGCGGGAGGGTGGGTACCGGAGACAGTGCGGGAGGGTGGGACCGGAGACAGCGTGGGGCGAGGGGG